TTTTATGCAGAGTTTGCAGAGATGTGGAGTATTCATTCTAAAGTATTTTTATCTTCATTAATTAATACTAGCCATCAAGAGAGGGTCGGTGTTAATTTCACTGATAGATCACAAAAGCAGGAGGGAGGCTTGTGGTACTTCACTGAATTTAGAGAAGAAACACAAGAAAAAAGAGGCTCACTCAGTGGAATGAGATTCGTGGCGCTTTTTCTCTTCCATGCTGGAAAATATTTTCACAAGCACATTAATCCAAAGGAGAGGTCTGTTTTTAGCATACATAATTTCACAGCAGGTATTGGTTCACTTCAGAAATGTGGAATTCTTATTCTTTAGCAGCAGTCCATTAGTATTGCAGACTACATCATGAACCTGCCTCAGTTTCTAATCCTGCCTTCTTCAACAATCAAGCCATATTCTTCTGAGTAAGGTTACATAACACATTATGACACACCTATATTTAATAGATTACTATTAGTTGGAGATGCTTCAGAGCTGAAGGACAGAATGGAAAGCAGGTTTTGAGACAACGCCTCGGGGATGAACAGTGAAATCGGATACTCTGTGGTCAATGTCTGTCTACACACGACTTTACTGCAGGCTCCTGCACCAGTGCAAAGGCAGGTCTAGAGGGTCTCTGGGGTAGACTTTGAAGGCTCACAGGGGAAAGGAGAATCACAATTTCCTCATTCAGCGGATGGAAGCAAAATCTGCTCAAGAGGGTTCTTAAATAGAGATGGTGGGTTCAGTGGATTGTGATGGTTCGTTTTTCATATGAACAGGTGATCTGCACTTTCTAGTCCTGCCTCCTTTGGTGAGTGCCCACTGAGAGGCAGTGCTGGACAAAGAGCTGTCTTTGAATGGGTGTGACCATCTCTATTCTTAAACCTTCTATAAATAACTCTGACAGCATACAGGGGACCATCGTTCCATTGGTGCAAAAACTGTTTGGTGTAAACACTTACGTCTTGGCACATCTTTTTGCAAGAGATACTGAAACATCAAGCAATACTATCCTTGGTTTAAGTTTCTCCTACATTTTATAACATATCAAAGTTACAAGGAACAGTCCTCATTACACTTGAACATGCCAGGAAGGAAGGAAGGAAGGAAGGAAGGAAGGAAGAAGTTGCCTTCAAATTCTGATTCCTTTGTAACTGTGCAGGTGAGATGATGAAAGGAACCTTTGGATTAATAGCTTCTAACTTCATGTTTGTACAGAATGTGTGCATTCCAACAACAGGCTTGTCCTAAACACGACCAACATGAAAATATTAATGAGCACTTAGGAAGGAAATCAACCCTGAATGCTCCCTGGAAGGACAGGTCCTGAAGCTGAGGCTCCAATACTTTGGCCATCTTGTGAGAAGGGAAGACTCCTTGGAAAAGACCTTGATGTTAGGAAAGTGTGAAGGCAAGAGGAGAAGGGGACAACAGAGGATGAGATGGTTGGACAATGTCATTGAAGCGACCAGCATGAATTTGACCAGACTCTGGGAGGCAGTGGGAGACAGGAGGGCCTGGCGTGCTCTGGTCCATGGGGTCATGAAGAGTCGGACACGGCTAAATGACTAAACAACAAAGTCCAAATTGACTTGATGGCATATGATTATTATTAACATGCCTAGAATGTGTAGAAAAAGAATAAAATATGCACAACCCACATTCATGCAAGCTATAGATTAAGGCTTCTATTCAGTGAAAGATATTTTAATCAAATAATCACATAGATTAGTCCACTGGTTCTTAACCTTTGTTACTCAGATGTTTTTGGACTGCAACTCCCAGAAGCCTTCACCATCAGCTCGGCTGGCTGGGGTTTCTGGAAGTTGCAGTTCAAAAACACCTGAATAACAAAGGTTAAGAACCACTGGATTAGTCAATTAATAAAGGAATATTTCACTTGAGATTTGCATATTTCTGGAGCAAGAAGCAGACTCTTTGCTTTATGCAATGCGCATAGCAGATATTGCCTTAGAAGAGGCATTCAGAATAATAAAAGGAATGGGGGGGGATGAAAAATGCCTATTTCATGAGCGTGCTTGAATGTGCAACTTTTATAAACTACACTAGTAATGCCAGAGAAGCTTTTGCTCTTGTAAAATTTATTTATTTATTTATTTATTTATTTGATTTCTATCCCGCCTATCTAATCAATTAAGTTTGTTGTCATTTGAAACTCGTCTTGCTGGTCAGAAGATGAATCCTCTCCTCTTTCAGTCACCACGTATAGCATATGAAGATCTGGCAGAGAAATGTATTAATCAGTTTTTGGTGACACGCTGTCTACGCCTCTGAATTTAACTCAGTCCCAATAAATGCATGAGTTCCGATCTAGATTTTCAGGAGATTGCCTCATTTTGGACATCTATTCACTTGATTATATCAGGTTGATGCAGTTTGAGATTCATCATCTGTTTGATTCTGAAGCATAGCCCTCATTTGAAGGAATCGGGTGGTATATTGTTCAGGGAACTTGACTCCCTAGAGATTCTTTCGCATATATGGTTTGCAGTCATTCTGTGATCAATTTATCATGCTTGCATGAGTTGTAGCAGAGTTGAACTCTGCCTATGGGGCTTATTTTTTTAAGATAGCAGTTAATAAACTGCTAGAAACATCGAAGACAGCAGGGAAAAGACAATTAAGTGTGAGATGAATGAGCCCACAAAGGAACCATAACCTTAAGCTTTTACAAGAGCTTATCCATATATATATCCATATATATATATATGGATAAGCTCTTGTAAAATCACATATATATATGGATATATATATGGATAAGCTCTTGTAAAAGCTTAAGGTTATGGTTCCTTTGTGGGCTCATTCATCTCACACTTAATTGTCTTTTCCCTGCTGTCTTCGATGTTTCTAGGTGCAGAGGTGTTGCCCTAAAAATGAATAGTTGTTTTTAAAATGTGCCTCACAGATTGCTGAGAAAATGAAAGTGCAATTGCAAAAATGCTTTGAAGAGGTAGTGTACATTATATTACAGTTTATTTGGGAACACAGCTGCTGATAAGATAGCACAGCAGAAGTATTTCCATTCATAGTCTTCCAGTTTTCACAATAAATAAATAATGACACAATGTAATGTGAACAAAGAACAAGAGGAAAAAAATTGAGTGCATACTTGTGTTTTACCTACAATGTAAAATAAGAGAAAGACAGTGCAAAATACATATGGATAATTATGTGAGGCAAATGAAAACAACAATATGTTGCACAATTGAAGCTTTTATTATAGATGGAGAAAAAGATAAATCTTTTTTTGAGGAGTTTGTTTAGTGAAAAGCCAACAAAAACGTTTTTTAAAAGTGTCATTGTTTTATGAGGCTTTAGCCACAACTAATAAACAAGAGTTTTAAAACGGATTAAAAGTTTTTCCACAGAGGATGTACACACCAACCCAAAAACTACAGAACTACCACACAACTTGAAATTTAACTGAAAAACCCTGATTCATGACTCAATTTATTTCAATAGCATAACCGTGCCCAGGGGAAGTGCTCCGCATTTTGTGAGAGTCTGGGGTGGTAGTAAAAAAGAGGGGGGAAATGGTGTGGTTCTTATGCAAAATCCAAAAGCACTGGTGGGTGCTTTTGGATTTGGCAGGACTCTTCATCAGGCTAGGTGTTGCAGAGGTGGAGAAGAAATAGAGACGTCCCTCAAATCCTCTTCTACGTAGCCTACGGGCTCAATGATTTGGTGGTCTCTAAATATGACTGAGAACTGAGAGAAGTGGACATATGAATATATCTAAGGCAAGGCAAATGGGCCTTTGCTCCTGGGCACCATATTTGGAGAGTGTGTCCCTTCCTTGTCCTCCTGCAGCGAAGGTCTCCCCAACCGGAATCCTGCGATTGGCCTGGCACCGCCTGGTCTGTCACCATCAGAAATACTGTTGCTAGACCAGGCCTTAAGGGCACACAGCCGGTTATCTCCCCACTGTGTGGACATAGATCAGCTGGCCAGGGAAGAACGGAAGAAAGGGGTTGATAGATCAGGCCTTGGTGAAGCAACACTGGATAGGTCTCTCTGGTGCTTGGTAAACCAGGCCTCTGGGCTGAACAGTACAGCATACCCGCTTGTTAATACTTAAGGTGTGCTAAATATAGGGGTGTGTGTGTGCGTGCGTGCATGTGTGCACGCGCATATATATCTGTGCTGAAGTAGAAGTAGTAGCTCAGACAGTGCTGCTGTTAGTTTGTAGATGATGAGGAGAGATGTTGAAAAGGTCTTCAGTGGTATACTGTAGTTATTTCTTGTACTATTTTCATGTGATGAAGTACCCAGTTGACTGAGGAAACTCTTTTGTGTTGCTTGCCCCAGATGCCAAAACATCTAGTTACAGCTCTAACCGAACAAAATGTGGTAAGCTAAATCCGTACACACACTCACAGAGCTGGAAGCTGCTAGTTTTTGGAGTTTTCTACACAAATGTCCAAGTTTTGAAATAATTGTCTAATAACCAATTGCTGCGCCATTTGGCTAATTTTCTCTTGCTTCTTCCCTATGTCATCAAATGGGCTGATTTCGCCTTGGTGCGATGATAACCCCCCAAATCAAGCTGGATGACAGCAAGTACTGCACTGCTGTGACTGTTGCCTTACCCTGTTGTTTTGCTGCTATGAAGCTTCAAGCCAGTCTCCATCTTGTCACTCTTCCAAAATAACTGTATTCCCCTGGAAATCAATGCCCAGCCAGTTAGGAAAAGAAGAGGCTACAGAAGCGGTGCTGCCTGGAAAAAAGCTTCCTCTTTCTGGATAGCACAATGGAAAGACTGACTCTTGGGAGAGCCGAGCTGTATATCAATAGGCATTAACTAGCTGGAGGTTGCTACTAGTCACGGTATGGAGTGGTTGTGCTCCCTTTCCTGGTAAAATTTGTGCTGGGAATCCTTTGGTGTAACCCCCAGTTCCCACAATTCACTGTGGGAGCAAGATGTTATATAACTGAAGCAGTTTTTTTTCCTGCAAAATAAGAAAAGTGTTCAGCCCAAATCAAAATCACCATGATTTATTTGGTGTCACACAACAACATCATGAACAGAATTGCAACTGCGACACCATTTCAGAACACACATTTAAAAGAAGAATCATGTGAGTGTAGAACAAAATTGGTCATTATGGTATCAGCCTGCACACATTACTACCCTCCTTCAATCATCCACAGGACAGCAAAGAAAATATATATATATACCATGTGTATATTAAAAAGATGGCATCTTTCAATGCAAGTTCTTCTGCTAGCGATTAGTAATTCAGAGAATTACATTAACAGCAGAGTAATAAGACTGGTGTATAAGAAATGAAAATAAGTGGTTAGGTATGTGCCAGGAATATTTCTTGCAGCTCTTTAACTTGGCAGTCAACCAAAGACACTCTTTGCAGGCGCTTCCTTTGGCCGATCAAAGACCGTTTCGTCTCCTGTGCGGTCTCGGCTGAATACGGAGGGCGCAGCAGAGCCAGCTTGCTCTGGAAAAAGAACAGGAGTCAATCAATACTTTAGGAAGAATGGTTCACAGGCAGTGGCAGCTGGGGGAAAAGAGAAACACAACACATGTGGGACTGAACGGTACACTATGTACACTTTAGAGGACTTGCCCATCACCTGTCCAGGGACTTCTAGTTCATAGAGAACTGTTCCAAAGTGGAGCTCATAGGGGACATGCTTTCTTTTCAAGCACAGCACATTAATTTCCATTTGGAAGGCTTGTTTCCATAATGCTGTTATCATTGCCAGTTGGTACTTAGGGTTTAAAATCTGTTTGGTCCTTGGGAGTGTGGCGAGGCAGCCTTTGGTGGGGAAGTACGGATCACTCTCCTGTGGGGCTCCATCAGTGCTGTACAAACCTAATGACCACAGCATGAACCTAATGGAGAAGAAGAACTGCATCTCAGTAGAAGGAGGCTGGTCTGCCTTGAGTTAGAGAAAGTGCGTTTTAAAGGAGGAGAAGGAGGAGATACATGCTTAGGTTCATGAAAATTAAGAAACATCTCTGAACATGATGGCATGATGCTGCTGAGGAAGGAATCAGCATGCAGAATTTGGATTGTTCTTAAAGAGCTACATACGTCATAAAGAAGGTGCATGCTCAGTCATCTATCATCATTAAATTGAAGACAACGGTTGTGTGGAACAGAAAAGAGAAAGAACAGGGACAAGAGGAGACCATACATGAAAAGGGCTTGAGTTATGGTTTCTTAGTTCTCTATCTCTGGCAAGGAACGGCTGTGGCTGTTTTCAGAGTCAATGACTAGCAGCGACACGTGGAGACTCAGGAGAGTATGGTAAATGTGGCTGAAAGCTCTCTTTCTAGCCATGCCTGCCTGCGTTGACTGCTGGAACTGACGACTAAAGCAGGCGGTAGTGCGTCATTAAGAGCAAACATCTAAACCAGCCTTTTGATATGTTATTCCATTATCTCCCTCCCACAGTATATCCTATGCCATTGTAATCCTACTTGACCACCCAGAGGTTTGGATGTTATCTATGGCAGAAGGCCCGATTCTGCCTCCGGGAGGAGAGCCCACCCTGCTAGTCCATTCTATTCCTTGTACTGTCTCACTGAGCCTAGATGTTCAGTGTTCAATACATTCTTTACTGATACCTCCACAGAAGAGCAACACAAACATACCACACTGCTTCATGACCTGGTAGGTTTTGGATTTGATAGGCTGGTTGCTAGAGAGTTTTCCTTTAGCTCCTTTGAGGTCTTCCTCTTTCACAGGAGGACGTTTCTTTTTCACAGGAGCTGGCTAAAAAAAGAGAGAGAGAGGGAGAGGAGTTTGTACTACAAAATATAGTGAAAGTGCATCAAAACCACAACTGAGATAACTCAGCAATCTATAAATCTCAAGCCATTCCATTTTAATTTAGCTCCAAGCATGGATAGATCTAGATCCAACTTAATGGTCAGAAGCAGGAAATGGTCCAATGTTGTCTTGCAGTGTTGTGCTGGCATCACCAGCAGTAAAAACTATCCCAAGCTTTACACAGCAAAGGACAGCTGAATCCTGACACCAATGCCTGCAGTCAAAATGATCTATAGGACCCCCTTTTGTGTTCACCACCACTCACAGACAGATGGCAAGCAAGACAAAATCCCACAACCAGACTTCTTTTTTTCAATCAGTTAAACACTTCTCACGCAAACACAAGGCAATTTTCATGGATGTTTCTCAACAAGTTCTTTAGTTCTTTATTGCTTGGGGCATAAAGCAATCTGAATGCCTAAAAGTAATTCTCCATGGAAGCATGGACATCTGGGGTATCAAAAAAGCTCTTCTTCTAGTGACAGGCAGTGGTTTATTCCCCCAGGTGATCAATCATAGATATGTTTAAGATGGCAATTTGAGCTTGGATTTCAGTCTTTGCACTTTGTGGCTTCATGTAAAACAACAACAACAGGTTTATCAATTGCTTTGTGTTTAGATGAGAAATGGTATTTCACAATCTCCCCCCCCCCTTCCCAACACGTGTCCTCTTTCTCAGGCTCTCTCTTTGCTCTTGTCTCTCTCCTTCTGGCTGCTGCCAACGGCCTCTCTCTTTTCATGGGGCCTATCCCTCCCTCTTCCTCTTCTTAGTGGCTTCACTGCTCTTGAAGCCCCCCTCCCTGCAGCATCTCTCCCGATTTCATTCTTTCTACCTTGTTCTTCTCTCAGACAATCTTGCCTCTCACAACTCTTCTCCCCTTCCCATGGCTTCTTTCTGGCTTTCCCAACTGGTAGCTCCATTTTCTCACTCTTTCTATCTGTGGCTCCCCTCACCCCGCAACTCTTATCGCTCGTTCTTTCCCTCTTTCTCTGTGCTCAGTGGCATTTATTCCTCTAGTATTGCTCTAGTCCTCCTAATCTTGTCTCTTGTCTGGAAGTAAGCCCCAGTCACTCCATTGAGGCCCATTCATTTTCTCAGGTACTAGCAAGATTTGTCACAGAACACTTTCATAAGCATGCACAGCCGGAGCTTTTGAAATATTTCCAATGTAAAGCAAGATGTCCTACATCTTCTAAATGAGAGATCAACTTCAAATAAAGAAAAACACATGAGAAAGCATTTTCTTTTCAGGAAGAAGAGGCAGGCATTTTAAAAATAACAGAATTTTCTGCATAGCACGAAACAACTACAGCAAAAATATTCACAGTGGGAACATATTTTGGCGAGGGAGGGGGGAGAACTTTGAAAATATTTGTTCAAACATCTCCAAATTTAGCACAGAGCCAGTTCATACCGTCTGCTACCACTCTGCCAAATATGGTCCCAATTCAAGAACCAGTTCAAATGTTGTTGGAACTACGTCTTCTATCAGTACTGATGAATTGACTGTTAATGCACCAACAGAAGTGCACTCCTGTGCAGGTCCACTCTTACTCTATAGAATTATGTAAATTGCTGGTACCATATAAATGAGGGGGAGAAAGAGTCCTGCAGAAATAGCTGTTATCACATCCTAGTGTAAGGAGGGTCACAGAAACAGTGAGCCAGTGTGGTGTGGTGTTCAGACTAAGATTTTGGAGGCTTGGGTTCAAATCCCTGCTTGGCCATGGAAATTTACTGGGGGTAATGATGGCAAACCATTCCCTGAACATCTCATGTACCTTGGAAATCACAATTTGGAATAGATTTGACTGTGCATAGTAACAAGAAAGGAGTATGTAAAATGCTGGCATTATATAAATGATGATGAGAAGAGCAATGGTTACTGAAATAGCTGTTGTTCTGTTCTACTGTGGATGTGCAGCTTGGACGTAATGTCCCATTGGTCATCATCTAGCAAACATGAACATGGTCAGTATGCAGTACAAAATAAAAAACAGTCTGTTGTAACTTCTTGCAATACAATCCTGACTCCCAAAGAATTCCGGGAACAGAAGTCCAGAAGCACAAGTCTGACAATCTGAAGTGACTGTTAAGTGATGCTGCCTTCTATGCATGTATACTTTTGGAGTTTTGTTTAATTTGGATTCAGTCCAAATTAAACCTACCATGCTGAGATGTTCTTTACTGCCACTGCAAAATGATACATCTACAGACATCATAATATTGTTTTGCCCAAGGTGATAATATAAGTGGTGTTCTTCTTAGAAAAACCCCGACGTGTACATTATAATAAATGGTCTGCACATAATTCTGAGGAACCTTTAGTTAAAAAGAACACAGACACAGATCCATGTATTTAAAGAATGCATGGGAATAATTTGCTACAAGTTTATTATGCCCGGGGGGGGGGCTTTCATGCCCCTAGGGAGCAAAACAGTACAACCAGCCAAAGAACATAACGATGGAAAATGAAAAGCTTAGTGTTTCTATAACTGGCTAACAGCCACTGGTTATTTTGGAGCAAAATAACCATTAAAAAAAGGAAGTCACATGTCCTGAATGCTGATGGGGAATGATTGATTTCACACAATGACAGGGCTGTCTGCTCTTTGAGTTGTCCTACAGACACCATTGTAAAAGCACTCCTTTATGATAACTGTTATATGACACAGTTTGATTAGAGAGCAATTTGCTATACCTGCGGTCATTTTCTACCTAGGAACCAATATGGGTAATATGTGCAGGCAAAGAAAATTTCCCAGACTAATTGCAAGCTATCCCAATGGAATAACTCACCAAGTTATAAACAGCTCAATGATTTAAAGCCACTTCCATGAGCTTGGGCTGTGGCTCTCAGCTAGCGCTACTTACATTTTAACTCTTCTTGATTTCCGTTCAAAGAAGTCATAGCTAAAAGCAACACCAGAGCTGTGATAGACAAACACTGGTGTCTGTAGGACAACTGAAACTGTACAGGCAGCACTGGAAGGACACAGAAGTAGTTTCAGTGGGACACCGGGTTTTCATAGCCATGAATTAATCATTCATTCCCTCTTAACCCACCCACCCCATCCTAAATGTGACATGCTGTCTTCAACCAACCCGATTTGATGCCAATTAGCCACCTGTCACTGAGTGCACAGTCTGCATTTTCTTCTAGTCCCCCACTCTCCCTGCCTGTCAACCTACTGCAGAAAATTCAATTCTTCCAAAAAAAATATATATAAATCTCTGTGGTTTATGAATGTGGGATATTGTGCTTCTGTACCCATGATTCAAAAACCCAGGAAATGGCCCAATACTGTTCCACAATATCATGCCCACATTGCTGGTAAGAAGAAGGATGCCAGGTTTGACATAGCAAAGAGCAACCTGAATGCTGACAAGACCAATGGCAGCAGTCAAGATGGCTTAGAATGTTTTCAGTTCATAAGGAAGCTGGTAAATTCATAGTTTATCTTGCTTCAAATTTGCTACTTTGAAACTGTGAATTAGAGTCATGAATGGCTGAATTCCTTTGAAATAAAAAAGCAGCTGCAATGGAAATTTTTTCCCTAGATATGCAAATTTGGTCTTATCAGTGTATTTGATCTGTTTTAAATCTACCAGAGTTCCTGGAGGCTCCAGTTTCATAGTTACCATTTTTTGTTTGGGGAGTCCCTATTTTTTCAGTTGACTTACAGAACGCTGAATGCTGTTATCAGCACAATATACTGATGCCTGCCTGGGCACCAATAATATAAGCTCAAAATGTGTGCAAATACATAAATGGCTCTCCTGGAAACAGCAGGCATTTTGTTTTTATTATGTGACACTTGGGTTCTTTAATAGGAGGACTGATGGAGTGTAAGATTGAAAAACAATGCTAATGCACCTTGTAGCCACAGTCCAATCCTAACTCTTTCTTCTGCCCTAATACCAAATTCATCCAGTGTGGAAATCAGTGGTTCACAATGGACAAGAGACTGGCAACAGGCCTGCTAGCAATAGAACAAAATATTGTTCCCTGACTCTTCTTGCCAGAGAACAATATTATTTTCCAATGTTACCGAAGTGACAAGTTTAGTCATGGGTAAGATTTTAGCCAAGAATTCATTCTTTGCAACTGCAACAATTCATCCTGCAATTTATCAGCAACTGTGGCAGGGGGAAAAGAGCACTTGTTTATAAGAGCAGCAATATTGCCTTCAGCTATGATTTACTTTGAACAGAAACAAAGCAGAAGCAAATTCCTCTACAAGGTCTCTTCAACCAGCTTCTGGATTGCTGTTGTGCTCCAAGACTCCCTTCCACTCCAGCTGTGACAGAAATGAGTCTTTCCCCATAAGAAAATTACGATTTTAATCCAAGCTTCACATGATAAAAGCATTTTACAGTCATGGAAGACAGAACTACATTCTAAATCCGTTCAATAGCAACACACACACAGACACACACACTGGTGGACAAGGAGAAATGTCAACTCTGCAAGTAATGGTATTTATCATTGTATTAAGAAGCGAACGTGAGGGGAGGTCCCCTCATCGGGAGAAAGGCAACCTAGAAATTACACTAAATAAAATGAAATTAATAAATTTTAAAAACATTTTTGACATGTACAAACAAAACTGAACTATTCTACATGCCCATAATCTTAAATTAAAGCATTCCCTCAATTAAGTGCGGTTGGAAAAACAGCAGATTATATTTTTTTAATGGAATAATACATATATATTGTTTTGCATTAAAAAAAGGACACTAGACTGCATAGTAAGGAATAAAAAGTATAAATTGCTGCATATGATCATTCAAAGTAAAAAATATAGGGAAAGCAAGCAAGCAAGGGTGAAAATTGAGATGAATACAGTATCAGCCACTTTTCAATTTTAGCAAATGTAGGAAAAAAGAGTTTCCTACCTGGGACATGGTTGCAGAGCTAGTAGCTTTCGTGGTTAAACATCAAAACTCTGCACTAGCCTCCTTAGTGCAACTTATATAGACTCCTGTGTGAGGTCATGCTACTGGGTCATCTTCCCAAACTAGTTCCTGGAGTGTTTTGGGTTGACGGAGCCTTGTTGTTGAGAGGTTTATTCTTAGCAATGACTGAGGATTGTAGCATTTACTGAACTGTATGACTAGAGTGAAAAGAACCATGCCAAGTGACAAGAGGAGACAGCTGTACCGACAGAACTATGCAAAAGTCTTGTCCTGCCTGCTTGGCCAAGTTCTTCTTCCAAGGGAAACCTCCAAGCCTCTATTTATAGCTTTAAAGGGCAAAGCTTTGTGTTGGTGATGCTCCATGGGGACTGCAGCACTGAAGCATCTGTGTGCAAATCCTGTTGCAAAATCACACCAGACAGAACCAGTTGTCAGACGTTTTGCTCCTCAAACTAACACTGCAGGGAGTGGGTGACTTCTTAGTAAAAGGCAGTGGCAAATGCTTAATGCTTTCCACGCCTACTAACCATCCTCTGCAAAACATCCTTCCATTTAAAACAGTCCTAATCCCTGCCTCCACCATTTTGTAGCTGGACTCCAGAACAATGAAAGGTGATGTCAGCAGCCTGATGAGATCAGTACAGTTGGGGAGGGGACATGGATGAGGGCGAGCAAACTGAGACAGAGGTGATTTTGATAGCAAATTATTTCCCGTGGGAATGGATACATTTAACCTGTGTGGGATCAGGGACTGGGACCCCCATCTGCAAAACCGGCTTGGGTATTCCCCCAGATCGAGCACTATCTCTGCACAGGTGTTCACAACTTGGCCGACCGGTACTGGTGAGACGCAGGAGGACAGTACATCTTTTATAGCTCGTGCTTACTTGACAGGGGCTGGACTCAATGATCCAGAGGGTCCCATCTGGCTCTGCAGTTCTAAGATTATTATTATTATTACTGAGTAGGTTGTGGCATTTTTTTTTCTATTACGTATGGCTTTCAGTTGATGAACTTGTCTTATGTTTCACATTCTTTAAATTTTATAAAGCAATTTTCAAAATAGTTTTATATTGTTCTTATTGTACTCTGCTCTGAGATGTTTTGATATAGGATGAGATATAAATCTTACAAATAAATAAATCAAACTGCTCTCTCTCTCTAAATTGTTACATTCCTTAGTTTAACATGCATATACCTTTTAGATCTAAATGGCTGAGAACCCGAATATCAGAATTGCTTCTCTTTTGCAAAATCCACTAAGAATGGGCTTTCACTATCTTTGGACACAGTGCAAAAACATACATTCTGTAAGCCTCTCATTAAATCTTTATTCAAACATGTAGCCTTTGCTTTGTAACTTTTAACGGTAATGTATTTTTAGGAAGCTCATTTTAATTCTTTACATTGAAAACTACTTGGTAGAAATGCAGTTTTGAAATGTGAGGTATTGTTGTTGTTTAGTTGTGTCCGACTCTTCGTGACCCCATGGACCAGAGCATGCCAGGCCCTCCTGTCTTCTACTGCCTCCCGGAGTTGGGTCAAATTCATGTTGGTTGCTTCGATGACATTGTCCAACCATCTCATCCTCTGTCGTCCCCTTCTCCTCCTGTCTTCACACCTTCCTAACATCAGCATCTTTTCCAGGGAGTCTTCTCTTCTCATGAGATGAATGTGAGGTATACCATATAGTAAACAGAGAACTGGTACATAGAGGAAAGAATAATCCCCTCTTTTCTCATTTGTGTATCTCTTTCTCAACAAACACAAAGATCTATATTCATTGAGACTATCTAGCTAAGTGTTCACTTCTATGGTTAAATGTAGGTGTGAATAAATGTACCTGCACATATTTGTACTGGTGAAATGAGACCTGACCCAAAACTGCATGATACAGACAACTTTTGGGGGAAGCAGAAATAAGGGCACCCGACTCCATCCACTTCTCAAACAGGGAGGCCTCTAGGAACAGAAGTCGAGGTAACAAGAACAAAGTAAGACTTCCAGAGCACCTTGTCTTAAAGAGAAATTGCTGGAGGTTTTTGCTGACACAGTGGCTACAAAACTGGCCAAGGGATGAATGCAGCTTATGTGGTGCTCAACCTGGTATAAGGCAACATCCGGTTGTGTCTACCAACAAAGAAGGCAGGCACCATCCCTTGGTATAGGTCAACTGCAGTCATCCAGTGTAACAGATCGAGTAGTGGATTCTCTGTCCCTATTTTGGACCTGATGGCTTCTGCTCTTAATGTGCCTAAACTGTTTCTGTGCATAGAAAATGTTGGGGAGTATATGGAGGGATTTTCAGGCAGTGTTTGCTTGAAACAGGGACGTGGTGGCGCTGTAGGGACGTGGTGGCGCTGTGGGCTAAACCGCAGAAGCCTGTGCTGCAGGGTCAGAAGACCAAGCAGTCGTAAGATCGAATGCACGCAATGGAGTGAGCGCCCGTCGCTTGTCCCAGCTCCCGCCAACCTAGCGGTTCGAAAGGATGCAAATGCAAGTAGATTAATAGGGACCACCTCGGTGGGAAGGTAACAGTGTTCCATGTCTAAGTCGCACTGGCCATGTGACCACAGAAGATTGTCTTCGGACAAAAACGCTGGCTCTATGGCTTGGAAACAGGGATGAGCACCGCCCCCTAGAGTCGAACACGACTGGACAAAAATTGTCAAGGGGAACCTTTACCTTTACCTTTTTGCTTGAAACAGGGGTGCTTAACATGGAGTCCATAAGTAATATACAGTCTGGGTACAGAGAATTCTGTATACTCAAGGCAACTTCAGGCTTGTTTGGAAACTGAGTGAAATGTTGCATCCACCACTGGGCATGGCTCAAGCTTTAAGACATGCCTAAAATGGGTCCAAACTAAGTCTGGCTTTCTAAACAAGAATTTTAAAATTAAAATTGAGCACACAGAAAGACCAAAGAGCTGTCTTTTATCACGGCATTTGTCAGCCATGGGAGTTCTACGGCTTCTTTGAGATGGTGGCTTCAGAAGTCTCAGGGTTTCTGGGTAATACCAATTGTCTAGATGGATTTCAATTTGGATTTGGGGCTAGCTATAGGACAGAGACTGCTTTGGTTGTCTTGGTGGATGATCTACACTGTAAAACAACAGAATAGTGTGTCCCTGTTGGGTCTGTTGGATCTCTTGGCAGCGTTCTATATCACTGACCATGGTGTGCTTCTGGGTTGTGTCTGGAATGGGACATGAATACACTGCTTTAAAATGTCTTCAGTCCTTCCTGAATGGGGAGCACTGCTTTAAAATGTCTGTAGAATACACAGAGGAATTATAGAATACACAGAGGAATTATATCAGAAAGAGTCCTTCCTGAATGGGGAAGCTCAGAGGGTGGTTCTGGGGGACTCCTGTTCGACACTGGCCATTGGCCTGTGGGATCCATCAGACCCTGTTCTGTTCCCCATGCTATTCAACATATAAATGAAACTGCTGGGAGAGGCTCTCTAGAGTTTTGTGGTTCAGAGTCACCAATATGCAGATGGCACACAACTTGCTTGCTCCTTTCTATCTCATTCCAGGGAAGCTGTTCTGACCCAAAAGCAGTGTCTGGGGTGAGTAACAGACTGGATAATAAACAAGCTTAACCTAAACAAGACAGAGGTGTCCAAAGATAGATCAGGGAAAAGGGTTTCAGTCTGTGCTGGGTGGGGTCACACTCCCCTGGAAAACTCAAGTCCATGGTTTAAAAATGCCCCTTGAATTCATCCCGAGCCTTGATGCCCATATCTCAGCAGTGGCCAAGACTGAATCTGTGCAGTTGAAACTAGTGCAACAGCTGTGCCTTCTCCTTGAGAGGTCCAACCTGGCCACCTGCCTTAGTTACATTCCCTTTGGGATACTATACAGTAATTTGCACTACATGGGACTGCCTTTGGAAAAGCTGTGGAAACTTCAGCAGGTCAAGGATGCTGCAGCTCAGACTCCTAACCAAAATGTTGCTGTGAGATTCCTTGCCACAATAACTTAACTAGCAACTGCTTCACTTCTGTGTATAATCTAAAGTGCTTGTTTTAACCTATAAAGCCTCAAATAACTTGAGTTCAAGTTTGAGGGACTTTTCTCTTCATTAACAGGCCTATTTCACTACGTTCCACCACGTCACAGGCACATTTGTGGTGGACACAAGAGAGAGAGAGACTTTTTGGTGGCTGCTCCCAGGCTGTGGAACTCCTTCCCATGGGCAATCAGGCTGGCCCTCTCCCTGCTGTTCTTCTGCTGACAGGCAAAGACCTTCCTCTTCAGTTAGGCTTTTGATATGTAAACTGGAAAGTGAGAGGAAGTGAGAATGGGCTAAAAGTTAAGTACGTAAATAAATATTACACAGGAAGAGGAATTCTATTATTTTTGCTGGTGCTAAGGGATAAACTGGGCTGCACACGTTTCTCTTCTCATGGTAGGCAACCTGTGAAACAGCGAAGGTTTTGTTTTGTTTTTCCATTTGACTTACAAGCCTGCCTAAACAAGAAAACTACTGTTCTGAATCTCCAGTGTTGCAAATATCTCTGCATGTTGATGTCTATACTATTATGTTGGCTTTCCATGGATTGCAAAAGAGCCAACCATTTTGCAGCATCTGCTACCCATTAAAAGTCTGCTCACTATGCAGGGCATGTTGAAGATAAGTAGTGACAAACATGTATTGTCAAAACTTTATTGTAAACCATTATTTAAGTACAATACATAACTTTTTTATTTTAATGAAACACCATCTGTCAAACATGATCTGGAGGACATCATGGTTCACAATTTTAATCTTGATTTTGAACTCCCAAAGCTCACACAACCCTGAATGCAAAGTGATGGATCCAGACTTCTGCTCAGAAGAGTGCTTTTCACACTGGTTTTAATGTGAGATGGCAATTTCACCAATTCCTCCATTCCAAAGAACTGTACTGTCTAAAAGTCTGCTCCAAAAGGGCAGGTCACCCTCATCAACAATGTGAGAGGTGGTGCTGAGGGAAGGCAGAAGTAGTGAAAACACACCTCGGTTCCTTTAGACAGTGGGAAGCCTCTGCTGGATTCCAGTTTCCCCTTATGAGGGTCTTTCTATTAATGGAAGGGAAATGTGAAGAGTATCCCTTTAAAAAAAAGAAAGTAAAAGAAGAAAGATACTGCAGTTTTATTTTGAAAGCTATAATAATTTCCAATAATTTAACTGGAATCTTTAGAAGTTTCCATGTCTTGCAAGTCTCCTACAATCTGATATTAACTGGGCCAGTATGTGCTGATTATCACCACCACAACAATTTTTTAACAGAAGCTGCAGACCTGCAAACAGCCATGCATGTGGGCCACAGATTTCAGCTTTCAAATGAGACATTTTAAAGGTGAAGTATCCCCCACCACACACTTCCCTTCTAGCAAGGCATAGTTCAAAACCCAAGCATATGCTCAGAGGGAAAGCCTACAGAATGCACTTTGTTCTTGTTTGATTCACAATTCAACGAGTATGAGGTCTTTTCCCTGAAGAGAAGCTGATAACACATCTGGTCAGCAACATTAGTATATAGCATTTCACCAAAGTCGGGGGGGGGATGTAAATTTATTCAAGTCAGAAAATGAAGACTACAAAAGAATCATAAATAAGATTTGTGTTGGACTCCTGTTAGCAAAAACAGTCAATGATGTAAATCCCAATTTCATTTGACAGGGGGAAGCTACAAGTCTGTCAAAATTCAGCCTTGTGCTACATGACTTTAATTGCAGAAAGAACTGAATCACAGTCACATCCGAGTAACAAATAGCACAAATGGGGAAAAACCTCCACTTCCTTGGGATTAGATTTTTACTTACCTAGCAGCTGGAGCAGCAAAGTGAGCACAACTCTTGAATAGTTTTCACCTTGCCTACTTTCTCTGGCATGTTGAGACTTTCACAGCTCACTAAGTATAAACCGATACATCCAAATCCATGTAACAGCAAGACAAAATGAAGCAACAGGTGTTTGGGGGGAAAACCCATCACAAATAAACAAGTATAAACTATTTAATTTTACCTACACTGAATTTCCCTTTTAAGTTTCTGCAAAGGGACAAAGTACAATTAAATAAACCAAATAGTTTATAGAAGAATTGATTAAAAACTACATTCAACTCACCCTTCAAGATCTTCACACAGAATTAAATCCTTCCACCAGCAGACATTGCTGGCAGGTCAACCCTTTTTTCTCAGTTCTCCAAATCACTCTGGGAGATTAGGGACCCTCAGAACCATGTTTTGGGAGTGATACAGAGTGATAGAGGAAAAGGATCTTCAGCTGCATGGGTACCAGCTAAACTAACATTTGATTTAACACACAGCAGATAAGATACATGGGTGGGTAGACAGCAGTATGACACCTCTCAGTAGTAAGTCATGGTAAGACAGATGTCCTATAAGACATCAATATATGCTCTGCCTAATATACTGAGGCTGACTGCTGCTGAAAACGGAACATTAGGTTAGACTGTCTTTGTTGTCACCAACCACAATAATGCTAAACAATTCTTTAATATGGTCTATATGCAATTAATGAGTGCTGAACATTTTAAATTGTGCCTGTGACCAGTCGCGCTTGACTTTGTCAGGCTGTTACAATGCATGTGAAATGCACATTCTTGCAATTTAGGGAAAAAGACCAAAGATTAGTATTCTCCTCTCTCCACATTTATGTGTTAAGCTGCTGTATGGTATCTAGTACTAATCAATAAAAACAATTTATTTAAGTTCTATTTAAAACTGGACTATTTAAATGCAATTAAGGCTTTTGGTTTACGTGTTTTTAAGACTCCCCCATCCAAACACTGCTTGAAACAGACAACTCCCTTAATTTAAGCCACAGGAGGAAATGAATAAAGTTAAGTTTTCAATTAAGTCAGATGTTTAGAATGAAAAGGTAAGTGGTATATAGTAGGCATTTGTCTTCAATTATTTCAATACCTTTAAGAAAATTCCGTTTCCCAGTTCTTAGTCCTCCTACACCACTACAATGAGATCTGTATCTGCATGAGTTGGCAAACTGTTATCTGCCATCCTGAACACTAAGAATCTCACATGGATGTGACAAAAATCTGCCTTGGAATACAATGCTTGACAGAACAGTAATTCATAGAATTAGAAATACACAATTGAAGTATAAAAACAAATAAGTTAGGAGGCAACATTAATCAAGGACATTTCCCTACCTCACAATAGAGGTTTCATTGAGTTTTACAGTTAGATAAAAATTGGCTTCCCTTTGTTTTAAACCTGATCGCCAACAAGTAACAATGTATTGCAAATATGTTGCAGTGCAAGACAGTGCTGTCCCTATATGTAGCTTGAAATGTATGGTCCAGTAAAATGCCTCTCACAGAGGGTCAGTCCAAGATATTTTGCTGACTGCTATGAAGAACAAGATGGCTTTCCCTCCCATTCCAAACAGAGAAGGCTACCAGACCAGCAGCTACTTCAGTGCTGGACACAGGGCCATGTCCTTCACCATACCTGGAGACAGGAATGTGCCTTGGGGAAATGGAGAGAAGTTCCTATGGTATACAGTACACAGTTCTAGCACCCAACACATTGCGACTTGTTTTTATCCACACCTCTATATCTATTGCTTGTACCTGATCAGATACTCCATTGTGCTTAATGTTGGAGCTGGCTCTGCTTTTATGGACAGCGAGATTGATCCTACTTGCCTCAGAACTGTGGTTACTAAAATGGAGAGGAGTGGGGAATAGAGCCGTGCACCTTGTCTCCAATATCCAATGTTCTCCCACCCCAAAACCAACAACTTGTGTAGCTTACCACATTTAAGGCAGACTACACATATAAAAACTGTAAAAAAATATCTTCAAAAAGTTCTCAGCTCTTGTTAGTGAATGTGTTTTAAGGCTTGAAATACAGTCTGATATTCAGATACTGTAGGTTATAGGTATGCATTTTTTTTCCTGAAATCACTGTTTTGTGGTATCAGAAAGTTTACAGGAGGATGGTCGCTGAAATTACATATACAAGTATTCTACTGACACAGACATCTTTTCATTAATCACAGGACAGCAGCAAAATCTGCAGGTACCTTACACATTTACTGGATGCATTTAATTGTCCTGCTAAACCTCTGCTCTATTCCAGCTGAAATGGGAATGCTGGACTGCAAAAATAAACTGAAGAATAAGCAACAGTGATTAGTGCAATTTCATGAGAGTTAATTGAATCATACTGAGTACTCACAAAGATTCTGTTAGGAAAGACAGAGTTACAATGCCTGTTACAACAGCACTCAGAGTCCTCAGTCATGTGATGGATCTCTAATATTTTGAAGAAAACAGTTTGGCTTTTTAAAGAAATGTTGCTTCTTCTTTGGAGTAACTGAGATGTGAGATAAGATGACCTATAATTACTTACATCTGATCTGTTGATCGTATAAATAAAAGCATAAGTACTTAAGAAGCCACCATGGTCTCTCCAGTGTCTGGCTGACATACAGAAGAAACCACTGCAAATATTTGTTGCATTTATGGTAAAGTGCACATAACCACACAAATATGGAACAGTACTCATGTCTTCATAAGGGACTAGAGGTGTAATCTACCAAGCAGTCCTGCTGCTCAACTCTGTGTGGTTCAAGACAGGTTGGTGCACCACTCTGATGCAAGGTGCTATAGCTCTAACAGCCACTTGACTGTCATTTCTCTTTGTCAGCATACTGCCCTATTACATGTGACACAATAAAAACAACTTTGCTGAAGTTTGACCTTTTTACCATTTACAAAAAGTAACTGCATCATTTTCTATGACAAAGAGAATCCATAAATATCCCAGTATGAAAATAAAACTTAAATATAAAACTTCAAAACAGGTTATGGGAGATTTGGAAGGGAAAAGAAAAAGCTTTGTTCAACCTATGAGTCCCATAGGTACCCTTACATAATTAACTGATATAAGAATATGAAGTTACAATTTGTAACCTTTAAACTATTCTGTTCTAGGAATATGCTGCAAAAGCCAGTTTTTAGTAGTACAACATATTGACTGAAATGCTGTTAATCCCGATGTCTGTTTCAGTATACTGTTCAAGAACCATAGCTGAAATGACAATGTCCTATGATCTGTCTTCTAAAGAATCACATCCTCATCACCTTGGTGACAAGACTTTTTCCAGACATGATGAGAAGATACTCTTGCATATTTGGTCAGTGTTTCAATAGTGCAACTGAACAGGTAGCTTTTCCAATGGTAAGTGTTCCATTTATCTGAGTCACAGTTTCTTTGCGGTAGGCATTACTGTTGCCAGGTGAAAACCACTGACCATGGAGAGTTTGGTCACAAACCTGCAGACATACAGGCTACAGATTTTGTCATACAGGCAGACCAAATCGATGCTTCTTTTTCTTAACAGACTTTAGATTCGTTAATCTCCGAAGATCTTCTTCAACATCTGATTCTTCCATTTCATCATCAGCTGAAATCAAGATCTATGGACAAAAAATTATTTAATTAGACAGAACTCATTATTATTTTTTCCTTCTCTTCATAAGAAATATATTCAAAATGAAGTGCTTTTAAAAAAAGTTTATAATGAAATAACTTATCTATGACAATTTATTGATGTAACATTTATCTTTACTGTTCATCTAAGCCTCTCTAATAAGTACAAGCTAGGGTATGAAATATGCTGACAACACTCAGCTCTACCTCTCGTTTTCCAACAATCCAGGTGAGGAGGTTTCTGTGCTGAACTCGTCTGGACCTGATAATGGACTGGATGAGGGTTAATAAATTAAAACTCAATCCAGACAAGATGGAAGTGCTGTTAGTGGGTGCTTCACCGGGCAGGCTGGAGGGCCATTTCCGTGCCCTGAATGGGGTTAACTCCCCCTAAGGGACAGGGTCCGCAGCCTGGTGGTGCTCCTGTACCCCAGTCTAACTCTGGAAGCTCAGGTGGACTCGGTGGCCAGGGGCGCCTTCCTTCAGCTGCGGAAATTGTACCAGCTACGGCCCTACCTGGATGAGCGGAGTCTCATGACAGTTACACATGCACTGGTAACATTTCATATAGATTATTGCAATGAGCTCTATGTGGGGCTGCCTTTGAAGACGGTCCGGCAACTGCAACTGGTCCAGAATCGAGCTGCGCGGCTGGTGAGTGGTGGGGCTACTAGAGAACACATCAAGCCGATTCTGTTTAAGTTACATTGGTTACCAGTTGCTGCCCGGGCCCAATTCAAAGTGCTTGTTTTGACATATAAAGCCCTCTGGATACCTGAAGGACCGCCTCCTTCCATATGAGCCTACTCAGCAGTTAAGATCTAGCCAGGGGGCGCTTTTGAAAGAGCCGTCCCTCAAGGAGGTAAGAGGGATGGCTTGTAGACAAAGGGCCTTTTTGGCAGCTGCCCCCAGACTATGGAAGGCCCTCCCGACTGAGATTTGTCTGGTGCCGACGCTGATGACATTTCGGTGCCAGGTCAAAACCTTCCTGTTCCAGAAGGCTTTTAATTGAAATAACATCAACTGTGGGTCCTGATAGCAATTTTTAGAGTATCTGTTTTAATTGTATTTTAATTGTTTTATCTTTTATTGTATTTTAATTGTATTTTAATTGTTGTAAGCCGCCCAGAGACCTCTGGGTAGAGTGGGCGGCATATAAGTTAAACAAACAAACAAACAAATAAGCAAACCAGGCTTTTGTATTTATAGCAAGACACCATGTTTTTTCCTATACTCTGCACCCACGAGTTTGTGGGGATGTCTATTATTTCTCAGCCATTGAAAATTCCTATCATGCAGTCACAAGTTATGTAAACAGATGTTTTACTGACAAAGGAACTCAGAACACTTGGGTCTATTTGCTATTATTGGGGCTAACTATCTTCAGCAAGAGGTTTTGCTCACCATTGTATGTAATTTAGCAGCTCCAAACAAGACAAAAGCCTTTTACAAAGACAACGGGCAGCTCATTCATTGTCTACTTCAGCTTTGCTCGGAGCAACTCATTTTCATTTATTAAATGCAGCTTTTCAAGCTGTGTCACTAGTGATTGAGAGGTAGAGATGCCTCCCCTCGACCACATATACAATATTCCAATTAATATTCAATCAAACAGTTTGTTTTCATAACCATGCCTCATATTATGGCTCGTGTTCTATATGTGGGTTAGTTTTAGAAAGCGGTACAAACACTGTGGAATAAAAATTGACACATAAAATAAATTAAATTAATTAATTAATTAATTGAGTAATATACTGCCCCACTGCTGTAACACACTATTCTGGGTGGTTTGCAGCATGCAAAAATAAAACCCAATAGCAATAAGATTACAAATAATCAGACAATAAACAAACTACAAGGCATAAAACCAGACAGGGATGCAATGAAAAGCTTCTATGAAAAACAGTGATTTCAGCAGTCTTTCAAACACTGGGAGGGAAGGGTCCAGGCGTAGCTCCACTAGGAGCTACTTTCAGAGTGTGGGTGCCACAGTGAAGAAGGCCTGGCTTCTCATGGATGATTTCCTGGTTTCCTTCAGAGTGGCAGCCTGGAGGAGCATTGCCTGGGAGGATCTGGATTAGATGACATTGGACAAAGAGGCTCCGACAAGTACTGTGGTCCCAAACCGATAAATATCTAATGTCAAGTTATTCTATTTATTTTATTTATTTATTTATTTATTTATTTGATTTATATCCCGCCCATCTGGTAAGTCGGTACCACTCTGAGCGGCTAACACAGAAAGTATACAATTATAATAACATAAATCCAAAATATCAATTAACAGAACATAATAATCATAAAATAATAAATAGAAAAAGAAGAGAGAAATAATTTAAATTAGCTTAGATGTCCATGTTTCCAAGAATCCTTGTTGGACAGCTGTAATATTAGGAATCTGGGCTTAATTTTCCTCCATTAAAAAGAATTCAGGCTTTTGTATTTATAGCAAGACACCATGTTTTTTCCTATACTCTGCACCCACGAGTTTGTGGGGATGTCTATTATTTCTCAGCCATTGAAAATTCCTATCAAGCAGTCACAAGTTATGTAAACAGATGTTTTACTGACAAAGGAGCTCAGAATACTTGGGTCTACAGTTGTGTTCAAAATTATTCAACCCCCAATGCTGTAAAGGGGTTTAGGGACTATAGTGTACATTTGGAATTGTATTCAGAATGAAATCCTACAAGGACATTTTAAAGAACCAAATGCAACTAAAATAACATCAATTGTTTATGTAATACAGTAGTAAATGTTTCTTTTGTGGTTTCTTCATTGCCACAATTATTCAAAATAAAACCCAATAGCAATAAGATTACAAATAATCAGACAATAAACAAACTACAAGGCATAAAACCAGACAGGGATGCAATGAAAAGCTTCTATGAAAAACAGTGATTTCAGCAGTCTTTCAAACACTGGGAGGGAAGGGTCCAGGCGTAGCTCCACTAGGAGCTACTTTCAGAGTGTGGGTGCCACAGTGAAGAAGGCCTGGCTTCTCATGGATGATTTCCTGGTTTCCTTCAGAGTGGCAGCCTGGAGGAGCATTGCCTGGGAGGATCTGGATTAGATGACATTGGACAAAGAGGCTCCGACAAGTACTGTGGTCCCAAACCGATAAATATCTAATGTCAAGTTATTCTATTTATTTTATTTATTTATTTATTTATTTATTTGATTTATATCCCGCCCATCTGGTAAGTCGGTACCACTCTGAGCGGCTAACACAGAAAGTATACAATTATAATAACATAAATCCAAAATATCAATTAACAGAACATAATAATCATAAAATAATAAATAGAAAAAGAAGAGAGAAATAATTTAAATTAGCTTAGATGTCCATGTTTCCAAGAATCCTTGTTGGACAGCTGTAATATTAGGAATCTGGGCTTAATTTTCCTCCATTAAAAAGAATTGCATAAGATTCTTTAAATAATGGTCAAGTATTTAAAAGTCTGGAACTTCACTAAGGAGAAACCATTTCAAATGAGTGGACAGAAGCAGGGAAGCAGACATTGCTCTGACTGAATGCTCTGGACAGTTCTGAGTTGGTATGTAATGTTTCAACTTGCTTACTTGGAGACAGTGTAGAAATACAATTGTATTGTAAGACTGAACAAGAAAGGCTAAGAGAGCATTCAGGCTCTGAGGCAAACATGAAAATGACACAACACACACAGAAACAATCAAATGGAAATAGGAATGAACAACACATAGAGAACTTGCCTCTGACTCTGATTCTTCATGTGACGCTGCTCTTCTGTAGCGAACTTTGCTTCCATTCCTTGAATCTTGCCCTGATTCTTTCTCTTCAAGTTTGGCTTTTGTCTTCCCCTTCTTCATAAGGAAGTTATCGACTACCCAGAACATTAAAGCCTGTTGCAAAGAAATCAATGTTATGCCATCAGTCACTTGGTCTACAGGCAGTGGTTCAATTCAATGCATTCCCCAAACACAAAGCTTGCTTAAATATATAAAGGCAATTTAAACTTCAGTACATCAATTTCTCAGGTTCACGCAAGGGGAGGGCATACAGTACCCTTGGTTCAACATGGCTACTAATAAGGGAAGTTAAAGTCTGACGCGTCTGGGGGACTCCAGGTTGGGGAAGCCCTACTGCATGGCATTTCAATGGAAAGACACAATAACTGACATGTTGGACCAATTTGCACCTGGCACGACACTGCCTCTTCTGTGCCCCTGTAAAAGTTTCCATGAGTGATAAGACCATACATTTATACTCCTGGGTTGGTTATTTGACAGGTCAAATAATGGTCAAGTATTTAAACCATCATATGTTAAAACTGTAGCAGAGGGAGATGCTAAATATGAACTCTTGGATTAGTTAACTGCAATGAAATAATGAGAGTAAAAGACTATGGAGATATAAATGTGTGTAGTATTTCACTGGAGACACAGAGATGCAAGCAGAAACATGATTTTAAATGAAAAGAAAAAGAAAAACAGATGTAGCAAGTATGAAAAGTTAATTTTAAAAATACAATGATTGTTCAACATGCACCTGAACACACATTCCCAGAAGAACTGGAATGGGGTTTGCAGAAGTGTACAACATGAATCCTCATCTTCTCACAGTGGACATTATGACGTTCATAGAACATGGCAATGCCCCTATAATAGCATTTCCCAGAGCATCTTGGTATGGTTAAGCACCAGATAAATAGAACAAAACGTTCTGATAGGCCAAATCAATTGTTTTGAACTGCAGACAAAAATTTCTTGGTCCACTACTGCTTCAGGGTGGGGAATGTGTGACCCTTCATATGTTGGTGGTCTACAACATCCATAAGAAACAATCAATGATAAAGTATCATGGGATTTGCAGCTCAACAACATACTCCCCACTCTTGACTACTTTTTGGAAATTCCTTCTTTTTGGAATTTCTCTGAAACTCTTCTGGAATTACTATATGTATCTGGACAGGTTGCTCAGAACCATAATTTAGCTACTGCTGTAGGAGATTTTAATTACAGTATCTTGTGTAGCTTCTTTCAGATTTTACTCTTACTAGTTCATGTTTTACAAATTGCTTATTCAAATATATTGTCATGAGCACTACAGCTTTGAGCACTTTGGAACAGGTTCTAAAAGAATAGGACTAAAACTAGAAATAAATTGACTGTCTATTTTTGAAAACAAAATGATGGGGGAAAATATGGCACATCTTTTCAGCGTTCTTATAATTTCTTGCACAGAATAGAATCACAATGTTAAAAAAAGAAGTTTCAGAAGAGAACTTTCCTGTTGTGCATTAAATACCATTTTCACAAATCTTCTACACAACTGCTAACTTATGTTTTAAAAAGTTACTAAACACCAGATGTGATTAGTATAGTTGTACTCTCAGATGCCAGCACCATTTACTCGCACTCCGGGACTTTGGATCTTGGACCTGCCTTCTGCTGGCTTTGCTAAGTGGGACTGCTTTTACCTGTTTCCCAGGGATTCCCCCTCCTCACTACACCACTCTGCATTCAGCTGGATCTCTTCATCCTTTGTACAGTATTGAGGATAAAAGGGCAGCATAGTGCCTAAAACTGGATCCAACCCCATTATTCATATTTTTTAAATACACAAATATGCAGAAAATGTCAATTGATACTAACATTTACAAAGAAAGGGACTATCAGCATGACAATAGCCAGCTCCAGCTGAGGATTCTCTATAGGATTCAGTAAAGCTACCTGGAAAGAGAAAACACTGTATATAAATACCATGGAATTACACAGATGCATTAATGTAGGTACCGAGTTATTCACCAGAACACGATCGGTATTTCCGTAAAGACTGCATGATTTGCTGTGGGTAACTGTGGTTGTTGATGAAGTGGCATCTGTCTCCACAACTGAGATGCACCCTGGCAATCAGCTGTGGCAACTTACACAAACGCCTATAAGACTGCAGTCGTCATTTGCATTACATACAGTACTGACTTAAGAGAAGGTAGGATTATGAAAAATGGTTGGGATCAAAATAGGCTTTAAAAATGATGAGTTACTAAGAACTTATGTTAGGTTTGTTTAAATGACAACATGAAGCTAAGGAAGACCCTATTCAAATAGATATTTCCAATATAAATTGAACATTAAATATATCCTCACATTTTCTAGCTTTAACATCATTAAGTGTTTGAGTTAAAGCAATGATTAAACACTGTTATTTTGGAAGCAGCAAGCTGATTTTATAGTCACCTTACTAATTTTCAAAGCTGTGACCAGCATTGCTCCAGTCATCAGAGACTTCAGCCCTGGACTTTAATCCCAGGAGAAAAAACAGCCTTGCCACTTGGATGTAAGCTGACCTCAGTCAGCTGAAATGGGAGGTGAGGTATATGGTTGGAGAATTCATAGGCCAGTCACCAACACTCTTTCTGGATATGGCTTCTCACATGACCTACTGACTCTGTCTTTACCACTGCAACATTTACTGCTCCATACCCTCCCAGGACCTACGGTCACTATTCCGGAAGCTGGCAAGTGTTGCCTTACATATATTTACTTTTACCATCTTGGCCAAGCTGTTATCAATCTGGAAATTATTCATTAATAAGAGAAAGTTGGACACATGAGATGAGGTCAGGGTTTTATTGCGAAAACAAATTTAAAAGGCCAACACATGTTCTTGCCAATTTCATGCCTCCTACGGGTTTATAATAAGAGTATTAAACCACAGCTTTTTCTGGCAACTTGGAGGCACTATGGGGTAACTTCCTCATGCCAACACTTTATATTTATCCAGGACTTGTGTACATTTCTATTGGAAGCACACTATGTTAATGTATGTTATACTGTGTCAGTTTTATTAAGAGTTCATAAATTAAAAGTAATTACACATTCTACACCACAAGAAAAGTACTGTAGCATTTTACCAGAAACATCCTACAATAAAATTATATATCAGACTTCTATGTGAGAGTTTGTGAACTGGCAGGAGAAATGCTGAATCTGGATAATTTTGCAGAGAATTCAGCAATTAAAATGAATTCATCTCTTCATTTTGGAGATACAGAACAAATAAAATCAGATGAATGCCCTGGTTTGGACAATACACACAACAGTGAAGTCTTGTTGAGGTTGCTGAACAATAGGGGCCTCGTGGCGCAGTGGTTAAAACGCTGTACTGCAGCTAAAAACTGTGCTCACGACCTGGGGTTCAAATCCCAGGTAGCCGGCTCAAGGTTGACTCAGCCTTCCATCCTTCCGAGGTCGGTAAAATGAGTACCCAGCTTGCTGGGGGGGCAATGTGTAGCCTGTATAATTAAAAATTGTAAACCGCCCAGAGAGTGCTTGTAGTGCTATGAGGCGGTATATAAGCAGCAAGCTTTTGCTTTTAATCAATAAATAAATAATTAGCAATAAATTAAGCCTTAAAAATTACCAGCAAATGTCAGGATTCAATGTTTGATATTTAATACAATGTACTCAGAGTAAACCACAGTGACAGCTAGCCATACTCTGCTAATACAACACCTGCAACTTACTGGTTATGGTGAAATTTAGGGCTCAGTACATTTTTCACGTTTTTGCTAGCACATTTCAGCAGTCTCTATTAAATTAATCTGGCATACCACTCAATTAATAATTAAAGAAATAAAGACTCAAACCTCTTTCCACTGAGGTATTAGGAGAACTATAATGATGATAGTTTTCTCAAACATCATGATCACTATGTACAATGCACACTGGCCTACCCAAGCAGTGCACTGCAGTGGGTCACCTACAAAACAAACACACATACACACAAACAAAGCGTTAGCAAAACAAAGTACTTCTTCACACAGCACATAAACTATAACATTTGATTTTACAAGACATCATGATAGCTCCCAATTTGGATGGCTTTAGAAAGAATTACACAAATCATGGCTGAAAAGACTATCAACGGCTACTCGTTATGATATCTCTGTGTCACCAGATCTCTAAACGGCTGCTGACCAACATAAGTAGAAAATGGCTACTGCTGCCTTAAACTTCCTGCTTGTGCCCTACACAGAGGTACCTTATTGATCACTGTGTCAGACAGCTACACATCTAACTTTAAGCAATTTTGACAACTCCACATTTTTCTAGCTATGTTACAGAAATAGATTGCACTTGGAGGTAGAATAAATACCTTTCTGAAGCCATTCTAATACTAACTGGAAATGTTAGCAGACTGGTGCAGTGTATTCAGTCTAAATTAATCTGCATTAAATGCTATTTATTTGGTTCTGGATGCTCACAAAGTTGCTATTATTTGTTTGGCTCTCTCTCCAGATAAAGATGACAAGTTATGAATCCTGTTATTCCTGCAAGACATATTTCCTCTCCCCCAGTTTTCTAGGAATGTACCAAACTTTCAAACATATTTTGCTACAGAGTTAGAGTATATAATCACGCAAGGGGGGGAAATCACCTATCTCTCTGAAGAAAGTACTGGGCACCTGAATTATGCAGGTAAAAATGTGTATATGGTTTGGTTTTACCTATAAGAGCTCAAAGATGGAATGAAATACCAGCAGTAAGATGAATTTTTAAAAGCTTGCAAACAGAGTTTGATTTGCTCTATGGTTTTTAACACGCACTGTCAGCACATCTACTCTTTATGATATTTCACCCTCTACTTTCAAGTCAGTTTTATAGTACCTTCAAATTCAGACTAACAGCTGAGCCTGAGAACTATGCAATGGAAACTCAAATACCTTTAAACAGCTGTAATGCAGAATAGACTCTAGCCATTTCCTTTTCTGGCCAGCCTTTGAATGACATACACCAGATATTTTACTCTGTGAGCTTGATGTTTGTGATGTCAGTGTTATAGAACACTTGAATACTCAACATGCTGAAGAAAGGACATTTCTTGTAAATGTTACTGAACAGCCAATGCAAGTTCAACGAAGAACATACTTTCACTGAGATAGGAGAATTTGAGATAGGAGTTAACGTCAAAGCACTTAAAAACTCCCCAACAACCCTGAGTAATAGAAATGCAAACCTGTCTTCCCCAATCCAGAACCTGCACTAGTTTACTGGGGCCACTTCTCTTTCTTTCAATGGGATACAGAATTTTAAGTATGCACATAGTTTCATGATTTTGCAGGCTTATCAAGATACAATAGACTTACAGATGTCACATAACTTAAAAGGTTATAAAATTATCACTAATAATATGGTTTACATTTATAACTTACAACACTGCTGTTCAGAGGCTTTTTTTGTTACTTGACTAAAGAAACCACAGGTTCTGCCTTCAGATTCTGATTCTCTTTACAAAGAGAATCCAAGAAACAGCACATTCTCTGTGGTAAGCTCTAGAGCAATGATGGTGAATCTTTTTGAGCCTGAGTGCCCAAACTGCAGCACAGAATTAACTTATTTATTTCAAAGTGCCAACACGGCAATTAAAATCCGAATAGTGAGATTTTATTTTAGAAAAAACAGCTCCTGTACTGCAAGGGTTAAATGCTTTTTTCCTCCCTATCGTTTAGTCATGTCCGACTCTTCGTGACCTCATGGACCAGAGCATGCCAGGCCCTACTATCCTGGAGTTGTGTCAAATGCATGTTGGTTGCTTCGATGACACTGTCCAACCATCTCATCCTCTGTCATCCCCTTCTCCTCTTGCCCTCTTGCCCTTTCCTAAGATCAAGGTCTTTTCTAAGGAGTCTTCTCATCTCACGAGATGGCCAAAGTATTGGAGCCTCAGGTTCAGGATCTGTCCTTCCAGTGAGCATTCAGGATTGATTTCCTTTAGAATTGATAGGTTTGCTCTCCTTGCAGTCCAGGGGACTCTCAAGAGCCTCCTCCAGCACCACAATTCAAAAGCATCAATTCTTCGGCGATCCGCTTTCTTTATGGCCCACATCTCATACATCACGACAGGAAAAACCATAGCTTTGACTATTTGGACTTTTGTTGGCAAGGTGATATCTCTGCTTTTTAAAATGCTGTCAAGGTTTGTCATTGCTTTCCTCCCCAGAAGCAGGCGTCTTTTAATTTCGTGGCTGCTGTCTCCATCTGCGGTGATCACGGAGCCCAAGAAAGTAAAATCTGTCACTGCCTCCATATCTTCCCCTTCTATTTGCCAGGAAGTGATGGGACCAGTGGCCATGATCTTAGTGTTTTTGATGTTGAGCTTCAGACCGTTTTTTGCACTCTCCTCTTTCGCCCCCATTACAAGGTTCATTAATCCCTCCTCACTTTCTGCCACCAGAGTGGTATCATCTGCATATTGGAAGTTGTTGATATTTCTTCTAGCTATCTTAATTCCAAGCTTGGGATTCCTCCAGTCCAGCCTTTTGCATGATGTATTCTGCATATAAGTTGAATAAGCAGGGGGACAATATACAGCCTTGTACTCCTTTCCCAATTTTGAACCAATCAGTTGTTCCATATCCAGTTCTAACTGTTGCTTCCTGTCCCACGTATAGGTTTCTCAGAAGACAGATAAGGTGGTCAGGCACTCCCATCTCTTTAAGGACTTGCCATAGTTTGCTGTGGTCCACACATTCAAAGGCTTTTGCATAGTCAACGAAGCAGAAGTAGATGTTTTTCTGGAAGTCTCTGGCTTTCTCTTTTCTCCCTATGGGCAGTATTAATAAAGAAATACTTACTGGTCCTCCAATTCCCCAGTGGGCTAGACTGATAATAGTAGCCACTGCACCTCTCTGCTGGACCACTGCACCAGCAGAGGGGAGTGCCAAAAATCAGGATCAGAGGGCAGGTAAGCATTTCTCGATGGTGACTTATGGCTCACGTGCCCACAGAGGACTGTGTGCCAGCTGTGCCATGCGTACCATAGGTTCGCATCTAGAGCATCTAATTAAGATCTCTCAGCTGCCCTTTTAAAGAATCTATTGTCAAAAAGGTTAACATGCTTCACATTCTAACAATCTAGTTTGTATCTGATACCCATTTTAATGTTGATGCATTTCATATCTGCTACATTTGGCTTTTGGGTATTTGGGCACTGCCTTGTATTTTATACAGTACAGTATTGCTATTTGCTTCGTCTTTTGCCTCTGTTGTGTCAGCTGCTCTGGGTATAGAACCAGTAGGAGGGCAGAAACACTGCAAACATAACCTCCAACAAAATGTTGCAGTTTTCCTTCAGCACTATCATTCCCTCACAACTACCACTCTTTTGACACCATATGTTTGAGGCCAATTCATTCTCCTCCTGCTGCTGTTATTCTTCTCTTTTCCAACGGACACTCAATATACCAAGGCTGTGGAAGCCACTAAATATGTTCAGTGCTCACTGAACCTTTGTTGTTTGCCTCTTAGGGATTTTATTCTATTCCTACAAACTTGAAAGAAGCCCCATGCATGCCAATCCTTCTCCTTTTGATTTCCAATTTCTGTTTTTTGTTTCGGCTCCAGTCCTGCTGGCATCTCAGGGACTAACAATTACTACAGAGATTGTTAAGAATCAACAAGCTAAGGCTTCTATCTTACACATACTTCCCTGGGGGCCAATCCCATTGAACTCAGTAGGATTCATTTTCATATACGTACATCTGCTGGATTGAGTTTTGAAGTCAAATTCCCAGACACTTCCTGTCAAACCTTCAGGAAATCTCAGGTATTTCACACATTTATCAACTACTACATGAGAAAAGTAATATAGCTACTAAATTAAAAAAACAACAACAAAAAACAAATGTCAACTGTTTGCTTGGCAGAGATGAGACTTCTGGATAGAACTCTGAAACCAAATCCTGGAAACTATGTATTTCTGCCCACTCCCTTCTGCTTAATTACATGGCAAGCCTGCTGGCAGCATTCTGTTAAGTTTCATATTGCATAGTACCTTGCAGCTTATTTAGTTATGAGAAAGGCAAAAAATCAATATTAATTAGTAATTCTTGACTACTCAAAGAAAAATACTTTATGCATAGCTATGGAAGGGTTAACAGACTAAATTCTTTCATCTGTATTAAGTGAATGACTTGAATTTATTTATTATGGTCAGGTGACCAGTAATAATACTATATGGCTAAAATATACAAAATGCAGTTTAAAAATATAAAATCAGTTCATTAAAAATATGTGGTTAAAATACACAAAATGCAATTTAAAAAGGTGTACAGCCAGTTCATAAAATATATTATATGGTTAAAATATAAATATTTCCTCCCTTTGGTTGGGGCCACAACATTTTTCTACGCTTAACAGTAAACCATGCTCATGTTGAAACCAGTCGGCCTGTGAACTCAAGAGACTATAAGGGAGCGCTGTGCCATTACTGCTGCACAAAATTTTGCTGCAGAGCATGTAATAAGGGAGTCTTGATCGGAAAGAAGTAGCCTGATGTAAAATTCATCAGGTCTCCCTGGATATCCGAGAATGATTGGGCTCAAGAGGTTAGTGTGTAGATCTCTATAAAAAAGACAGTAGGCATGACCTACAGTTTCCACTTTGCCATCATTACATGGACACAGGCAATCCGAAATACAGTAGATATATGTTGAAATCTTCCTTCCATGAGTTTAGAGGGTAAACATTAAGTCTTGCTAATGTAAAGGTTCTTCTTGTCTTTGTTGACATTGTGCTCTTCAGATATGAAAATACTGTAAAGACATTATTAGTAACAACACTGTATTTGCCCGACTGGCTCATATGCTCTTGAAGTTCTATATCCCAGGTGCTTTGTTTGAGTGCTGCTTTACCACCAACATGCCCCATCACTAAAAGAGCATTCGTGGAAAAGCCTATTTGCCTTATTTCTTTTGTAAG